CATCGTTTTCGCTTTGATCTTGCGCCAGAGTTCGCCGTTTTTTTGATTGATAGTTCCGCTTCGAAGGCCGATTTTCAACTGTCGGTGATAGTGTATTGTGGGCATCCGTTTTCGGCGGCTTTTCTGCGGTTGTTTATTAGGCGTAGGGAGAATCTCGCTCGTAGCAGAGCATGGTCCGTGTCTACGGGTGTTGACCAGTAGGAGTGGCAGTCTTTAATGGATCCTCTCCAGCGGTAGCTGATGGCGATGTGGTTGATTTGAGTCCAGCGCTGTGAAGAAGTTGGCGGTCTCCATGTAAGGCGGTGCCGGTTTTTGTGCGAGAAGTTCGTGCTTGACAGAAACAGTCCGTGGTCAGCACAAAGTTGGAGTAGGCGTTCTCCGTTGTCAGTCCTGTTGGTTAGGATTGCATGCGAACCGCCAAGTAGGCTCTCTGATTCGTCCAGGGATCCCACTTGAGCATTGAGGTCTCCAGCGACCACCACGATGTCCGTTGACCGAGCGCTTTGGAGCAGTAGAGAGAGGTCCTTGTAGAATTCATCCTTTATTTCTGGTGGACTGCAATCAGTCGGTGCATACGCGGATACGATGAATAAACATCGACGCTTCGTTCTGTAGCTGTTGATGCGAATAATGCATGCTCATCAAGGACAGCTGGTTTGCACTTCCCGGTAGTCAGAACCCATTGTAATCAATAGGATAAAGTCGCATCTGGTGCAATTTATTTTCGAGTTTGGAGAAATCGTATCCATCGATCATAGCTGGTTCTAATCAGCTTTAAAATAAGAAATTCTGCCCCCATCGCTGACCGCTGCATAATGACTACACTCTTTTGTATCACTCATCCACATTTACCTTGGAAATAGCTGTTTTTATATTCTCATATGTTTCTCGTCCCGCCTTTGTCAATCACTTTCTCCGTTTTCCGTTCAGATTTGCTGGTTATGTTGAACGAACTCTGTTAATCTCCTCACCAGACCGAACCGTTTCTGAGTTCATGATTTTACATTTCAACACGCTATTTGGTCTTTCTGTTCAGCCCTGTCGAGTTATTTCACCTTTCTCCCTGTTGTTCTCCACTGAAGACTTCCAACTCAACTGGAGACAGTAAAATAAACATCTCACACAGTTCAGACCGGGGCTTTGAATCGTCCCGGTCGTTGCATACTTCCGGTTCACGCCATGTATCTTCACGACCAAATATCGTTGAATCGGGGCACAGTACGGACGGTCTTGACTCTGAAGATCCGGAAGCAGAAGAGGAATCTGACCCAGAAGAGACCAGAGGTGGCGGGGCGGAGATGAATGATAATCAGTCTCAGCTATTTCGTCAGTGGCACGATTATGTGGCCAGTAAATTGACTGCCAGTCGCGCCCGGATTTGGACCGAGGTTTCTGGACGTGTGGAACCCATACTGAAATGTGTCGGACAATGTGCCACCGAAATGCAATTCGATCAGATTTCCTCTGTGCTGAAAACAGTGAATCAGTAAGTATGTCTCCCGGATTGTGTGTGAACTTCATCTCTCGATCTTGTTTACTTTTTGTTTGTTCACAGTGGTCGTTCGGTCCGGGATACGGATATGGTCAGATTTTGAAAGGCTCAAATAGGAAATTCAGTCTTTTCAAGTAGCTGCAACGGAACTTTGGTCCACATACACACACAGACGCTCACAGTCTCTCTCCTCCGTTCCATATCTGCAAATCTATGGAGTGATTACAGTAGTGTGATATTCTGGAGACTTTCGTTTTTATATTTTTTGATTATGACTAATGGTTAATGAACATAATGTATTTTTTATTTTTAGTATTCTATCCTTATGATCTTCTGCTACATGTCATTTTTTCTCGTCGGGCTGCTGGAAAATGTTGTTGAAACGATTACCATACTTTTCTGTCTCTTTCCGCCTTCGACGCTTATGGATTCTGTTCCCATGGGATTGGACCTTCTGTGAAAGTTTGCCCTCCAATAGTCTGATAACTGAATGGAAATGAAAGTTCGTCCCATACAGATTGATCGGTTAAAACTATGACAACAGTTAGGGCGCGTTGGGATAATTACCAATCAGATTGGGAAACAATATAATAGTATCTGACGATCGCTTTTGAGCGTCTATTCAGTTTCATTCATTCATTAAGGGAAAGTGTAACCGGCTCGTTGTTTCATTGTTTCAGCTTGTCTATCGACTTATTCAGATTGGTAAACACACTAATTGCATCACAACAGAGATCACTTTCAATCGACCATTATTTTCGCTTAGTAAAGCTGAAATTCTACTCGCTAACCGAATCATTGATTTAGTAGACCGTTTGCGGTAGTCCCTCTGTTTTCTCTCGAGGATTCCCCCTTCCCCCTCCGGATAGTTGCCATTCCCAGTTTACATTAGGTTGCCGGTTCTGCTCTCCTATGGTGCAACAAATACTAAATCGGTCCTATCAGGACTCCGTTCTCTTTGTTCTTTTCTAACTGACCGTTTTGTTAACAACACCGGGACAAAATACAAATGAAATTATTTGAAACAAATGTATGACACACACAGAGTTGTATGATATCGGAAGATCGTTCCCCGGACCGTACAAACACTTCAATCACCTGCTCAATCGCTCTCTATTTCTCTCTCGCAGTAGAGCTATATAGTGCCGTCAATCGCGATATGAACTCAATGTGGAAGCACATTACGGGTCGGGAATTGTTGCCGTTATCATCCTGACAATAAACAGGAACTCACCTGACGTGGACAGCATCCTTCTCAAAATCTATGAAGTCTGTTTGCCAACTCTATTAAACCAATTGGCCACACGCATTATTCCGCTGCTCCTGGGATATTGAAAATATCCCAAATTCATGGTCAACATCCACTCTACTCCCTAATGAAAAAGGACGATAAAAGCATCTGCGCGAACTTTAGGGTTATCAGTTTTATCGACATGGTGACTCAGATTTTCACAACTATCCTACTCAATTATATTGTTACTAGACATGACACAGAGATACTTCTGAACCCGTGTGGTTTTCGCCGAGAGAAGGGTTTCAACTACCAGCTCTTCACACCACGGCGAATCCTAGAAAGTCGTTTTGAATTCCAACATTCAACCTCAGTTTCTTGAAGTTGCCAACGACATTGTCATCATCCTGACAGTCCGCAGCGGATACCAGACCGTATCGAATATGAATCCAAGGTGGTTGGTCTCAATACAAACACCTCAAAAACAATTTTTTTTTTCACAACGTCCCGAGATCCGTCACTACCCACAAACGTCAACGCTAAAACACTAGGATAGGTACGCCACTTCAAGTACCCAGGCTCTAACCATCGAGCTCAACGACAAAATCAAGCTTCGTATCGACTGCGCAAAAAGGGCATTCCTACAACTTCACAAACCTCTATGGATTAGTCCTCCGCACAAATCCGTGTGTCTATCAAGCCGTTTTTCGGCCCGTTCTTACATGAGCTTGCAAAATATGGTCACTCAAACTAGATGATACAAGAAATGGAAAGATTCAACCAGTATATGGCTAAATCAAGTGTTATGACCATGTTTCAAACTCCGCCGTCCGTCTGTATTGTGAAGACATTGGAAAGCTGTCCCTATTTTTTCCAACGCCACCATCTTCAATAGTTCGGTCACATCCTCCGCCGATCAGAAGCAACTTTGAAAAGGTAGGAAGAGAGGCCGTTATCTTTTCTCCTACTCCGTACTGGGTGATCCAGCATTCATAACCCCATCCCCTACCACCAATTGTCTATAAAGGCAACTTATCCTTTAGCAGTATATGATCGAAATAAATTAGAAGTGTTACCTTGCACAGATGTGAAATATCATTGAACGATACACGACATAGCACTCTGAGGTATGTAAGCTAAGCTCCCATTAGATGTATCCAATGTTATGTACACATCTGGACCTTCGCTATCCATCAAATCTCGCCACATTGTGGCTATTCCTGTTATCTAAAGACAACCCCAAACTACTGTGGCGCTGAAATATCAACTGTCTTTATGTACCCTTGATGATTTTTGTTTAATCTCCTCTGTGTTTTATGGTTTGAAATGCGAACAACTCGTCTCCGTAAGTCTATTTCTAACATCTGAAGAATCGAGTTCATTACCGAATACGACTTGCTTGATCATTTCGGCCGTCCAAAAAGTTGGGAAGATCGCTTTAAGAATATTACCTCGATAGGCGCTTGGGAAGTTTCAGTAATGAAACCCCGTCTATTATCTATTTGGTGGTGATCGAACGGTCATCTTCATCTACACCAATCCACCTCTCTGTCATATTTTTCTCTGAACATACTTCCCGGGATGCGAATACCCTCCAACAAATGGACCAAACTCGGTCCGTTCCGAAGCTGTTCGGTCTACAAAAGGAACACTGTTTAAAACTAGTGTAGTGATAAAAAATCAGCCAAACAAAAAACTTGTTTTTTTGCAGCCTGTGCAATATTGAACTTTCAAACTTCCATTCATTTCATTCTTCTCGCTCTCTTCCCACTACTTCACCTGATGTTGTCGCACATCAGTTTGGTCACGATTGGAGAAGAGTTCTGTGGCAGTCTGTCCACTGACCTTCTGGAAGTGTTGCGCACCTCGATCTACAAANTCTTTCGAGATTTCCATCGGTAAGTGTCGGTTTGTCCCGTTGCTTTGCGAATGAGTACGATTACCTATAAATTTGTACCGTGTGTTGACATTCTTTCATGTGTAAAAATAATCTCACAGGAATGTAAAGAAAAACAATCGGATTGACAGACTTAGGAAAACAGTCATGTAAAAGTCTTTCATCAATGCATTTATACGTTGGAAATAATGTTGGGAGAGGATTGTGTATTTTTATATCAGCCGCAACAATATGGTTAAGCATATTTGTGGAGGGGTGGTCGAAACATATTCTCATACGATAATAGCCCAGTCTCTATGCCAGTGAGCGAGTCTTCACCGACAAACCTTTTCGCAGAATGTATCTTTTATCACATCTGTGGAGGAAATCCAGCTCACTGCTCTCTCTCTCTCTCCCCTGTGTCAAAGGTGAGGTATGGAGAAGCCGATCGCCGTTGTTCTCAGGTTGATGGGTATGTCACACGCACCCGACAGACTTAATATGTAACTGACGCTACATCGACCTCCATTAAACTGTATTTTTCATGTCGCCCAACTGCGTTTTGGGCGCGACTTTAGATAACCGTAGACCTCAGTTGTAATCCTCTAAGCAAGTCAACTCCTTTGGCTTGGAAAACCATAGCCCGATTTCTTTAACATAAAGATAGCTGAGTTCTAATTTGTTTGATATGAAGTCTGACCCTGGACAAGTATGAATCGTGCATTTCGGGTGAGTTCACTTCAAAAATCATGAATTATTGAATCATTGGTTGTCAGCGTAGGTAATCTACTCTCCGGATGTCACCGACCAAGGAATTTCTTCAACGGACACATGTGGTTCCTTCAAGTCTGATTGACAGAACCAAAAATTAATTAAGATCCAGTGCTTTAACTGTGATCTGTTTAAACGTCCGAAGGTTCGAGAACCCACACACCTCTGCATGATTATTATCCCCGAATGGATGGGGTCAGGCAACGGTCTTTGTTGGCAAGGTATTTCTCAATGTTTACCCTATCTACTTGTGTGCTTTATCACCCATCATAATCCATGGTACTGTACGATATACCTTTGTATGACAGTGACGGGTAAACTGCCTGTATTGCTGCATTAATATGTGCATTGACTGTTGTTTATTTTGCTGACGTTTTGACATCCGAGGACAGCTAATCTAAGAGCCCATTATCACCAAATTGGTTTTTCGTCGTCTTTGTTGATCCTCATGTTTCCGTATGAAACCAGAACAAGCTCAACTTTGGATTGGTTCTGTTCTGTTCAGAGATTTTGTATTGTTTTCCTTTCGTTTTCCCCTGCCACCCGGAATGCA